CTTTTAAATGAAATGTATGAAGAATAAAACTTAATGCAATAAAGCTTATGGTCAACATTATATTCCAAAAATGGATATGTGTTATCTATTCATAAGCAATATTATTCCACTCAGAAACATAGGGGAACAAGATCAACCCTACTGTTGAAATCCACTGAACACTTTATAGAGAACAAATATCAGTTTGGATGAACATCTCAATTTAAAACATGTCCAGTTATGAAAAGGTCTAAAGTCCTCATACACAGCCCCTTTACTCCTTCCTTTGTAATGCAGCAATCAGATCTGAAAAAACATCTAAGTTATCCTATTTCCCATTTCATGCAAATCAGGAATTTCTATTTGCTTTAGAACAAGTCAAAACGTTATATCTCATTTTGAACTTCATGAGTTCAAATAAAAATCAGAAACATTGTTTATTTAAAATGTTCCATCTCTAGTTATTATTATAAAGAAGCATATAGGACAGTGGTTCTCAACCTTTTTAATGCCGCGACCCCCAACCAGTCATAAGTCGAGGACTACTCAACCAGTCATAAGTTCGAGGACTACTCAACTGGTGCAGCACCGTTTGCAGAATGGGACTTTTGGCGGGCTCAGCAGGGCAGAGACAGTCTGGACAATTCCTATTGGCTTTTGAAAGCCAATAGAATTAGACTCTATTCAAGAGAGTCTATTCTATTGGCTTTCAAAAGCCAATAGAATAAAAGGGAGTAATACAGCTAAGGAAAAGGGGAAAAAATGGCGGACTGCGTTGTTTGGCAACCCCCATGAAATGGTCGTTCGACCCCAAATGGGGTCCCGACCCACAGGTTGAGAACCACTGATATAGGAGGTAAAAGATTAATTATAATGTAGTTATGAATTGAGATAAGATCACTGGAATGTGACCATTATTTAGGTACAAGCCTAAATTTATACAAAACATGTCCTTTACATATATTCTGTTCCCTGTAGTTAATAATTGAAGGTAATGTTTAGGATGCTATATATACAGTAAAATTGTCAAATTTCAATTTACAGTTCAGTCCTAAAAATATTTATCTACATTTTATCTGTTTACATTGTTCCTAAATTAATATGTTTAAAATTGACACATTTTTTGAATTGTTTTCTGAGGTTTTCGCGGGTATTTGTATGTAGGTCTTTGGTTGTTCGGGTTTTCTCCCACGTAAAATTGGAAGTGTCTTGGCGACGTTTCGACGAAGTCCCGTTCGTCATCTTCAGGCTGGTGTTTTCAGCTTCGTGCTTTGAGCAGCAATGTGTGGTCTTTCATAGGTCCTGGTCAGATGGTGGATTTCCTCCCCGTAGAGGTTCGATATTTGTTTTCTGAATTTTGAATTACATACATATGAACATATGATTTCACATTATTCATGCATTTTCCTAAATTTTCATTATAGAAAAAATTTAAAGGTTAAGATCTCACTTTTATAAGTACTATATGGAAAAATAATATTATGTTAATTATTTGTTAACTATAAGTATTTTCCCTCCAGTCTTGGTTTCTAAAAGGGAGGCTTTTCTTGAAGGTTAAAGCTTATGGCAAGTTATTAGCAATACATTTGAAAAAGCAAATTTAAAATATAATAAATCCATGCTGGTGCAACAGTATTACAAAAACCTTATTGCAAGTATTACAAAGTCCATCCCATGTGGCCCTCAGATCATTAAGTGTGAAAAACAGTCATAAGTCACTGTTTTCAATGCCATTGTAATTTTGTAATTTTGAGTGGTCACTAAACAAACTGTTGTAAGTCAAGGACTACCTATAATGAGAGTTAAGCTAAGGCACCAGTGAGCATTTTAGGACAATAGAGGGAGATATGGAAAGGAACCTCATTTCTTCGCCTTCTGGTAAGTGGGCATTTTGCATTATGGGAACCATTCTGTATGCTCAGTATGTTCTAATGCTCTTTCTAAACTCCAAATTGCCTTTGTAAAATGCTTTTATGGGACACCTCCTCTCCCCATCAGTAGTTAAACTTCTTATTCAAACAATAATATATTCTTAAAAAAATGAAGACATTAGCCTTGGCAACAAAGTATATTCAGTGTTATCATATGATATTCAACCCAGGTTTCTGGGTTTGGAAAATATTCTGAGTCATAAACTAACCATGAAGTCTATGACTGCACAACTTGCACAATAAACAATACTTCGCTATATTTCATTGTGCTGTGCAACAAGTGAGTGAATTTTTAATTTGTAAATTCTGGGATAACAATACATTTTAATAGAGTCCCATAGACAAAGGTTTATAATGTTTAATATTATTTTGTAATACTCAAAATTGTGCAAGGTATATGAGAATATGATTTCTGTGATGCACCTATTGTCCTCCATAATATCTCAGTAGCTTTTCGCATATTGCTGCAGAAACTATCATAAGCTCTGTAAAACGTTCTAAGCTGTGCTTTGCTGATAAGGAGCTTGGAATAGAAGGTACTTCAGATTTTCATAGGACATAATGCTCATAGGAGAAAAGAGGAACTAGCAGAGATAGAGTTAGTGAAAATAGGAGGATAAAAAAAATGCTGGCAAGCAGCTAAAGGTACTACCGGTATATTAGCTTGAATGAAGAGAGAAAGAGAAGGAAGCGATGTTCAAAACAGATTGGGCAATTATTGTGCTGCTGAGTCTAAGTGGGAAAAATTTCCTGAAATATTCAAGGATAAGACCTAGAGTAAGAGAGATCAAGAAAAGACCTAACACGAGAAGATGAGAATTTGCTAAAACAAATAAAAGATCAAAGACGAACTCATATTAAGAGAATTTATGGGGTGTTAGTAGAACTGGATTCAGAAGCAGAATTAGTTAAAGAATGTATGGTTAAATGGGCACAAAATTTTGATGAACCGGTTCTATTAGATACCTGGGAAATTATTTGGGTGAGGAATGTTAAATTTACACAAGCCCAAAATTTAAGGGAAAATTTTTATAAAATGTTTTATAGATGGCACCTTGATCCACAAAAAATGTCTCGTATGTATCCTGACTTGCAGCCTAAATGTTGGAGATGTGGATGTTTGGATGCTACTTATTATCATATCTGGTGGTCATGTAAAAATATAAAAGCTTTTTGGATTAAGATATGGTGGAATATCCAAAGAATTTTTAGAAGAAGGGTAAAATTTACCCCACAATTGTTTTTGTTAGGTATTGTTTCTGATTGTGATAGTAAAGAGACTATATTGATGTTAAATTTAATTACAGTGGCCAGGTTGTTAGTAGGGCAATGTTGGAAGAAGGAATCTTTGCCTACTTTGCAAGAGTGGTTTCTTAAAGTTTCTTATTTGGCGGAAATGGCAAAGATTTCGGCTTTTTTGAAAGATCAATCGCAAGAGAAGTATTTTCTGGTATGGAAAAAATGGATAGATTTCATACAATATAAGTTGGATATAAAAATACTACTTAGTTTTTGAATAACTTATATTTAAAATTTAAGATATTTTATAGACATTTCTTTTTAATTTTCTTTTTATTTTTCTTCTTATTTGATTTCTTCTTTTTCTGTTTCTTTTTTCCTTCTTTCTGGTATTTTTTATATATATATTGTTGTTAACTATTTTATAATTTGTTTAATTAATGTATTTAGATTTGCTTATGGTTTATATGTGTCTTAAGATTTTTTAATTTTTTTTTTTAATTAAGCCTGTATTCAGCTCTGGGAAGGTCGGGGGAGGGTAGGGGAGGGTTCGGGGAAGGGAATTGTTTTGTAAAACTTAAAAATTTTCAATAAAAAAAAAGAAAAAAAAGAAAAGACCTAACACATTAACACAGAAGGCATAGGTATGGCTATGCCAGAAAATAAATGGAAGAAGGAAAATTTGAGTGATTTACTATGAAAAATTCATCAGCTAATTCATCAGATTGAGAGGAACATAGCCAACCACACCTATAAACACTTTTTTAAAAAAAATGTAGAAATGTAGAATTCTCTAGTATTTAGCATCATAGAAAATGTCTTGTATAGTTGTTGTTGTTAATTGCGAAGTCGTGTCCGACCCATCGCGACCCCATGGACAACGTTCGTCTTGTATAGTAGGGATACATATATCTTAAGTTCCTATTATAATTTGGTAAGAAATTTGTATTTAGAATGGTTTCTGACCCAAAACAGTGCAGGAAAAGTATCATTTTGATTTTTTAAAAGGCTTTTTAAGACTAAGCGGCATGAAGTTAAAGTACTTGAACAACTATATTGTCCTGTCCTCTTTTAGACAGGTTCCTTGTGTTCATGTAGGTACAGACTCATTCCTATAAGACAGTTTGAAAACTTCCTTTACTGAGTTATTAAAATTCAGACATAAGCAATTAGAACAAAGGCAACCTTTCATTTAATCATTTTAGCAAGCCTATTAGATCTGGGCTGCAAAAATATGAATTACCACTAGACAGCAACAGAGTTAGAAATTCTTGTGGTTGCCTGAATTTCTGTAACCCAAATCTAACATAGTAAACCTAACTTTGACACGCCTGTTGGTTAAGCTATCCTACTTTTAAGTAAAGTGCAATGGGTAACAATCTATTCGGGTAGCGTAAGAAACATGGGACAATAGTTAATTTTTGTTGTTGTTTCTCTACTGCTTATTGTCAATGGGAGATGCTTACGTGATCGTTTTTACTTCAACTGATAAACAACTTGTTTGGCTTTGCATCTTAATGAGCCAGGTGTCAGGATACGTTATTTAGGGGAAAGCGCACGATCAGGTCGAGGAATGAGTTTGTTTTTAGTAGGATTTGCTTCCGAGTTAAACATCTAGAGATAAGTGAAGTCATAAACCTATTTTCGGAATAACTGCTTGTGTAGACCAAGTCCGATGTCAGAATGGTGATTCGCTGGAATCTGGAACAGCGACATGGGTGGGGAAACAGACGAACTTAAATCTGGCTAATTCTGGAAGAAGTTTGGTCTTCGTCCTTTGCCGTAGCTGCTCGGTCTTGAAGGCTTGTTTTTTTAAAAACTGGTCCACGTTGCGCACGCATGCGTTGTAATCATTGTTTGATCACCTGAGGCTTATAAACGGGGTAAAGAGGTAAAGCGGATGTGGGGGGAATAGGGCGAGAAGGAGATTGTGGCAGGTCGCTTTTCACAGTGCTTCCGCGAATCTTCGAAGAGGCAAAGCCACTTCGAGACCGTTTGATGCTCTGAGGCTTGCAAAAGAGAAGGCTTTCCTCTGGCCGTACCTTTCGTTTGCTTCAGCCGATCGCCGTCATGTTCAAAAAACTGAAGCAGAAGATCAGCGAGGAACAAACTTCGGGCCGCGGAAGTCCTGCGGGTAGTACTTCAGCGTTTCCTCAGGTACGCGGTAGAAAATCCAGGACCTGGCGTTCCTGCTTGGCATAGAATACGGAGGCTGGTTCTCTTTCTCTCGGGAAATGCCTGGTGGTTTAAAACGGAGTAATTATAGGCTTCATAGGGGCAGACTCCGGAGTGTGTGCGAATCCTGACGCAGTTTCCTTCCTCTCGACCTCCCTCTGCGGGATGGGAGGGACCGCTGAAAGGGCTCAGGTGCCGGCCTCCGAGCCTCATGTGTATAAAAAGCGCCATTGTTTCAGTTTATCGCTTTAGGACACTTTGCGCTAGCCACATAGGCAGCCTTCTACTTATGTTAAGTTAATTTTGGTTGGCTAGGACTTGTTCCAGCCTGTTCCAATAATTGTCTGAACAAGACGTGCTAAACCCACCAAAGTTCATTGCATTTTAGCCTGGTGTTGTGAGAACCAGACACTGCATGGTTCAGTGTGCTTGTTAACAGAAATTGTGTTAACTGAGTCTTTAAGAACTTGGGCAAGCTAGAAATATAGATGCACTCGACTATGTTTATTCAAAACAGGCCTCCTAACTTCAGAGTAATCTTTCCACTGTTATGGATAGGTCCCATTGAGTTTGGTGTGGCTTGCTTTCAGCTATGACTCATAGGATTATGTGCCTAAGCCCACCCAAAAAAATGTATCCTAAAGACTTCCCTTTCAGTTACATGCTAGGATTATTTGCTAGGACATTCTTTGATTTATAGGAATGTATTAAGCATTCATATCAATTCTTAATAAAAAGAGGCATTGATAAGTTGCCTTTGATTTTGTGCAGGAGCAAATATATGCAAATTTTCCAGTGATGTGTCCTTTATTGAGTTTTTCTATGTGTGAACAATTGTGAATAGTTTTTGTTGCAGTCACAGCTCCTTAAATCTTGATATCAAATAGATTGTTTTTTCTAATTGTGATTAGAGAATACACTATATTTCATTGTAACAATATCCTTTTTGAGAATCTGCAAAGGGTAAAATGGGATGTACTATTCAATAAAGGCCATAGAGCGACGGAACTTTTGAATTTCTTGCTCAATGGCCAAAACTTGTGGTTGTTGGGGCACAGGGACGGCAGTTGCCACTACTGTTCCCTCAAGAACAGTCATGGGAGTGTTAGGGGTAAATGCCAAAGCGACTGATATAAAGTCATCTGGGTCTTTCAAAAATGGCATAGCCGTTACTCCCTGCATAATAAAGTCACAGTGAGGAAACACTAACAGAGGGGTGTCACAATCAGGGGGAAAGGGGACAGACGGCCGGATTGGCAAAAAATATGACAGCCCAGATAAACCTGTGGTTATTGTCTCAGAGGCCACCAGGACAAAATGATAAGGTTCAGCCTTTGAGGCGGGGCTAGCTGAATGCCCCAGCTCTAGTTTCCCGGTTCCTGGGAATCAGCGGGCATAGGGTTGGACCGACACTGGTTTGCCCAGTGAAACCCCTTTTTACAGCGCAGGCAAACAGTTTTTGGTCTGGCTTCTACTCCCCTGCTTTTATTAGCAGCCCCCCTTGGGGCCCGGCACTGATTTTTAAAATGACCAGGCTTCCCACAATTAAAACAGTTACCAGCTTTACCCTCAGTTTGCCCATTACTTCCTGCTTTTTGTAAGGCCATAGCCAAAGTTTCCATGTTAAATGCATTGGTCCCCACAATTCTACAGGCTTGAATATAATCTGCCAATCCTGCATCAGGTTTGCTCATTAAGGGCTGCAGGACTCATCTACAGTCCTCATTGGCATTTTCAAAGGCAAGTTTCTTCAACAATTCCTCTTGGGCTATTTCATTTGTGATTTCCCTAGATATGGCCTTTTGTATCTGATCCACAAATTCCCCATAAGGCTGATTAGGCCCTTGAAAAATCTTTACAAAAGAGCCTTTTGTTCCCCTTTGTGGATCATCAACCCGAGTTAAGGCAGCTTTAGCAGCTAGGGCTGAATGAGAATAGAACAAAGGGTTCATTGCTTGTTGATTTCCCAGGTAAGTAAAATTTCCACTTCCAGTTAACTGGTCTACAGTGGGTGCGTTACGGCCAGGCCAAGCTGAAACGATCTTTTGACATTCCTTTTTCCATTCTGATTCCCAAACCACATATTGAGAAGATGTTAAAATCATATTGAATAGCCCTTTCCAATCTTCAGGCAACACAAAAAAACTAATAGCCATGTGACCTATCAGACCCAAGGTATACTGGCTAGAAATCCCATAACTTGATGCAGCCTGTTTAATTTCCCTAATATTTTTTATAGGAATAGTTTCATATCTGCGATTGCCTGTGATTGGATCAATAAAAACAGGCGCACAAAATTGATATTCTTCAGGTTGCAGTTCCCCTTTTTCATAAGCTTCGGCCAGTGCCCTGGAGATGGCGCTGGCAGGGGAAGGTAGCACGTTGGTGTTTCTTTGTTCTTTTCCTCCCTCCTCTTTTGGCGCGAACGGTTCAAAAGACACATCGGCTTGATAAACTGCCAAGGAGGATTTTTCTTTTGCACTCTGTCCCTTTTTTAACTCATTGGGCTTTTCAGAGTCATAAGCTGCCAAGGAGGATTTTTCTTCTGCACTCTGTCCCTTTTTTAACTCATTGGGCTTTTCAGAGTCATAGGCAGGCGGGGGGTCTACAGGCTTTTCAGAGTTATAGGAAGGAGGGGGGTCTACCCTCCCCTTCTCTGTTTTCATGGCATCTTCATGGATTTGGAGACATTCAATTACAATTCGCCATGTAGACAAAATTTTTGCAGGGGCACGAGGGGATTCATGAAAATACTTTCCTAATTTAACCCACACAGACATTTTTAGGGATCCTCCTTCGGGATATGCAAGGCAATTTAGATATACATATTTTAAGAGGAGGATCAAATCCCTTTTAGTGGGAAGCGGCAAATCTTTCCCATTGTTTTTCAAAACAATTATTGATGACTTGGCCAATTCCCTAAGTTCTGAGAGGTGCGCAACCTGAGGCTTAGAGAATCCTGTCCCCATACTCACGGTAATGTTTTGGGAGGGTGCTTCGTCTAGCTCTGACGACCGGCCCTGAGTTGCAGTAAGCTCTTCCGCTGAGTGAGTAAGAGGAGACCAAGAGACGTAATATTTTGGGAGGGTGCTTCGTCTATCCTGACGACCGGCCCTGAGTTGCAGTACCAAGAGACGTGCTCAGAAACTTGAATCACGTCGGGGTCACCAGTTGTGGGTTTTCACGCGCCCAGCGGTCTCCCATGGGTGTTGAAGAACAGACACGTACACGTGGTTTCCTCGGGATGGGAGCCTCGAACAAAGCCGAAGCATCCCTTTTATTGTGTTATCAGAAGGCGGGTTTATATGCACCTGGTGACCACCTTACACCAACCACATTTGTTATGACACAGCATATTAGCATATTACATGTGCTAACTTTGTTTTGCACACGCTCCTATACAGCTGTTACACACGGCACCAACAAAACACCAAAACACATTCCTTTGCACCGCACGGCACTACCTTGTTTACGCCAATCTTTTTTACTTCCGACTTCCTCATACCTTGGCCTACTGCAGCTGATGACTCAGCCTAACAGGCCAGATAATTCAATAATTCCAACAATAGAGCTAGTCATGCTGTAATGCATTCTTAGATGTATTATTGTTTAATGATTGTTGAATATGAATTACATATTATGATATATATTTTCTGTCATGTTTTCTAAAATGGATCTTGATGTAAACAAATGACTACATACTTATATTGAGATAACATATTTTCCATTATTCTTAGCGGTGACAAGATTGAAAAGTAAGAGCTAATTTCAAACCTTTGCTACCAACACTGCAAATGTTAGTCAAATTATATGGGTTTCAAAAGAGTCTCCAAACACTTGTAAGAAAAGACAATGATCAGTTCTTCCCCATTTAAAATCTGAAATGTTTTATTTCATGCAGCTACACAAGTCACGGTTTATGTTATAAGGATTTTTTGCACTCTGAAGTGGCATATGATTAGGTTCCCAAAAAATGTTATGAAAACATAATGCATTTTTTAAAAATTATCTTTAATAAATGGAAACACCAAGCATCAGATATTCAAAATCCCTTCAGTTCAGAATATAGAATATTGTATTTGAGAATCAACTATAAATTTAAAATGTTAAAAGGAGCCTGAACATAAATTTATATTTTATACAGTCAGATCCAGAAATATTGGGACATCACACAATTCGAACATCTTTGGCTCTATACACCACCACAATGGAGTTGGAATGAAACAAACACAATGTGCTTTAACTGCAGACTGTCAGCTTTAATTTGAGGGTATGTACATCCAACTCAGGTGAACGGGGTAGGACTTACTGCAGTTTGCATATGTGCCTCCCACTTGTTAAGGGACCAAAGGTAATGGGACAATTGGCTTCTCAGCTGTTCCATGGCCAGGTGTGTGATATTCTCTCATTACCTCAATTACAATGTGCAGATAAAAGGCCCAGAGTTCATTTCAAGTGTGCTATTTGCATTTGGGATTTGTTGTCAACTCTCAAGATGAGATCCAAAGAGCTGTCACTATCAGTGAAGCAAGCCATCGTTAGGCTGAAGAAACAAAACATACCCATCAGAGAGATAGCAAGAACATTAGGTGTGGCCAAAACAACTGTTTGGAATATTCTCAAAAAGAAAGAACGTACCTGTGAGCTCAGCAACACCAAAAGATCCGGGAGACCACGGAAAACAACTGTGGTGGATGACCGAAGAATTCTTTCCCTGGTGAAGAAAACACCCTTCACAACAGTTGGCCAGATCAAGAACACTCTCCAGGAGGTAGGTGTATGTGTGTCAAAGTCAACAATCAAGAGAAGACTTCATCAGAGTGAATACAGAGGGTTCACCCTAAGATGTAAACCATTGGAGAACCTCAAAAACAGGAAGGCCAGATTAGAGTTTGCCAAACAACATCTAACAAAGCCTTCACAGTTCTGGAACAAGATCCTATGGACAGATGAGACCAAGATCAACTTGTACCAGAGTGATGGGAAGAGAAGAGTATGGAGAAGGAAAGGAACTGCTCATGATCCTAAGCATACCACCTCATCAGTGAAGCATGGTGGTGGTAGTGTCATGGCGTGGTCATGTATGGCTGCCAATGGAACTGGTTCTCTTGTATTTATTGATGATGTGACTGCTGACAAAAGCAGCAGGATGAATTCTGAAGTGTTTCGGGCAATATTATCTGCTCACATTCAGCCAAATGCTGCAGAACTCATTGGACGGCGCTTCACAGTGCAGATGGACAGTGATCCAAAGCATACTGCAAAAGCAACCAAAGAGTTTGTGAAGGGACAGAAGTGGAATGTTATGCAATGGCCAAATCAATCACCTGACCTGAATCCCATTGAGCATGCATTTCACTTGCTGAAGACAAAACTGAAGGGAAAATGCCCCAAGAACAAGCAGGAACTGAAGACAGTTGCAGTAGAGGCCTGGCAGAGCATCACCAGGGATGATTGACTGCAAAGGATTTGCAACCAAGTATTAAGAAGGGAAAATTTGATTTATGATTATTATTCTGTCCCATTACCTTTGGTCCCTTAGCAAGTGGGAGGCACATATGCAAACTGCTGTAAGTCCTACCCCGTTCACCTGAGTTGGATGTACATACCCTCAAATTAAAGCTGACAGTCTGCAGTTAAAGCACATTGTGTTTGTTTCATTCCAACTCCATTGTGGTGGTGTATAGAGCCAAAGATGTTCGAATTGTGTCGATGTCCCAATATTTCTGGACCTGACTGTATGTATTTGTGACTCAACCATAGCAAGACAGAATGATTGTAAGTATTTGCCTCCTTCCTCCGACAAGGTTCTTCCATCTCTGGTTCTGGATGGAGTTGCAATGCTCCAAACAGACCTGGTGTACAATGTGAGGGTCCTCCTGGACTCATGGTTCCTGTTTGAAGAACAGGTGACAGCCAAGGCTATGAAGGATTTTGCATATCTTCAGATGGTGCATCAATTGCAGCCATACTTAGACTACGAGGTCCTACTCATGTAACTCACACTGTTGTAACCTCCAGGATAGACTACTATAATACACTCCACATGGGCCTGCCCTTGAAGATTATTTGGAAACTGCCAACTGGTGCAGAATGTGGCTGTGTAGGTAGTAAACGGTACGAGATATACATAACATGTAACACCACTCTTGTTTGAGCTGCACTGGTTATAGGTGCATTTTTGGGTGCAATTCAAAGTGCTGGTGATTACTTATATGGTTTGGAAGTGGGGTACCTGAGCGATTGCTTTTTTTCAAGAGTGTCTATCCATCCAAGTAGGTCAATCAGAATGGGCATGTTGCAGATCCTGTCAGTCAAATAATGTCGGCTGGCAGAGACTAGAAGGTGAACTCTTTCTGCAGTAGCCCTTGCTCTATGGAACGTTCCGGAGGCCAGAATGGCCCCAAACCTGTTAGCTTTTTATAAGGCCTAAAAACCTGACTATGTTCCTGGGCCTGGGTGCTGAATGTACCAAGGTCTCCATTTCCTGGCTATATTATTAACTGGCCAAATTGTTAACTGCTCTTGTGTATGCCAAATTGGATGTTTTAATGTTTTTGCTAATTTTACTATTTTTATTGTTTTACATTTTTTATTTTTATTTTTAAATCATAATATATTTTATGAAACCACTCAGAGTCATTGACTGAGCTGGGCAGCATAGAAATTAATCAAATAGTCAACCTAATAAATAAAGATACACTTTAAAAACTTTGAGGCATAGTTCTCAAAAGAGACTCCTTGGGAAACTGTGTAGCTATTTATATACATAACTATTTGAGTACCTTCATATTGGGATGCAACTAATCCTATTTTGTGGGCCACTCATTTGAAATATTGTAACTGCACAACATATAAAAAAACCGGTCTATTTTAGGGATAGGATAATATAGGATGCATCTTACGATTTCTTAACTTCATAACTTCCAATATTTAGTGAATGTATAACGTAATCCCAAGGAGAACATATTTCATTTCTTAGTACACTTAAAATCTAAGATTAGGAGCAGTCAGGATAAATTGATCAATTTTATGACTGAAATGTATTAATGGAAAAGAAAAACTTTCTTAACCAAAGATAATGTGAAAATGCTAGCCTACATAAAAATGCAAGGAGTGTTCAAACAACTTTGTCTTTGTTTGTTAAATTTATTTGCTATCTATCTTGCCATGGAGCTATTCTAGGCAGTTAATTTATTTCTGAGCTAGTGGAATACTATCAGATTCAGAAAAAAGGCCAGCTACAAAGCTTTCAGCATACAATCAGATGTACATTGTATATTTCATTTGTGGTCAGTTGCAGATTAGAACAAATCAGTCATTTAGATTTGTATAACAATTAATCTATACAGCAACTTTTTTCTGTCTCTAGGTAAACAACTATCTCCAGAAAACTAAATTAGTATAGTTGGAAAAAGTGTGAAGATTAGATAGTAAAAAACCATATGCATTCTTATCAAATATATAAAAATAATCAAAGCTGCATGGTTGGAAGAACCAATATTGTTCAAAATGGCTTTACTTAATGAAGTATTGATATTATTTTAAACTCGATTTAAATAATTAAAATTAAAATAATTTTAGTACAATGTGCATTTTTGTATGGCTACCTGTGCCCTATATTGCATATAATCAAATTGGTAGGAAGACACTCACTGTTCTTGATATTTCTTTACAGAGATCTTCTGAATCTTCTGCGCTGTCACCATCAATACACAGGAACAGAACATCATCTCTTACAGAGCAAAATTATGACAGTACTTCAACTCCTAATAGAGAGGTGGGTTGAACGTCTATATCATAATGGGGGTGAGAGCATCAACAAAGTTAAAGAGTTTTATGATTTTTGTTACATTTGATTAAATTAATTTTAATCTGTTCTCTTGTTTAATGTATAAGTTAATTGCTGTATAAATGAATAGCACAAAAGTAACTTTCTTGAAAGACAGAATTCAGTAGAGAAATTTGAGTTCTAAGATCTACAGTACCAACAGATATTTCTGATTTTTTAAAATCTATAGATATATTTGTCCATAAATCATTCTGTTTTATTGTCATTTATTGTTAATGTGATGTAATGATTAAAATTATGGACTAGGATTTTGATTGTGGAAACCTATTTCAGTCTATTCTCAGCCACAGAAGTTTGTCATTGCTCTTTCTCTCTCAGCCCAATTCAACATTTCTTGAGTTGTACAGATACAATTGCCTTACAACTGTTCATTTAAAAAAAATGTAGAATTATGACAGCCTTTGAAAGGTTTTTATAGCCTGTAAAGCCCTTCCAACTGTTGCAAAATGTTGCACTACCATTTCTGCAATCATGTGATTATGATCAGGGTGCTTGGTAACCCGTTCACACAATTGCAAACTACCCCGCAATTGTGATCACTATTTACAACTTTCTCTGCTAGCTCCCCAGAAAATTAAAAGGAAGGCCAGCAGGACAGTTGTAAGCTATTGTTCCTTGGGGACTGGCTTTGGCGGAGTGCAGAAACAGAGCCAAAACCATGAAAATTTGAGCTTTATCCCTGCAACCTTCCAAAGGAGATCCTTTCTATGCACAGAAGAGAACTGAATTCTCCTAGCAAGGCAGTTCTTTCAGTCAAGCCAAAGATGAATGTCTCTCCGCTCAGAGGCTGAAAATCCTACGTGGACTTTGACAGGGTAGACTTTCAGCTCCCCAAAAGTTCCTCCCATGATTTCCCCTATCTGTTCCCCTGGCATTGTATGATGTAGGATTTTGTCTGCTTAATGCCCTGTAGGAATCCAGTTGTGTTGAAGCAATAATTGATGTCTTGTTTAATGGCCACTTTGCTCAATGACTGAGATTTCACTCCCGATTGTGATTTTAAGTGAGAACTACCTGTAGTAGAGATACATTGGAGGAACATATTAAGTACTTTTCCTTGAGTTCCTGGAGGAAAGTGGGATATAAATTAATCATTAAATGAACCATCGTTCTAGTCATTGTCTATCTACTGCAGGAAGAAGATTCTTCCTCGTGTTTCCAACCAATACAGTCTTGAGCTTTCTTTTGCCAATTGAGCTTACAATACTTGCTGATGTCATCAATCCATCTTGTTTTAGGTCTCTTTTGTGGACACTTCTTATCAAATGGAATCCATTCTATAACTGCCTTAGTCCACTGCCATCAGTTCTTCTTCTTATGTGACCAGCCCATTTCCATTTCAATTCTTTTACTCTCTTGATATTGTATGCTTTCGGTTATTCTCTGATCCATTGCAGGTCTTTCTATCTTGTCTTGTGATGCCAAGCATGTATCTTTCTATGGCTATTTATTTATTTATGAGACTTATATACCGCTTTAAGTGCAAGCACTCTCTAAGCGGTATACACCAGTAAACAATGTATATATATATTTATATTGCCTCCAACAATCTTTGTCCTCATTTTACCTACCCCGGAAGGATGGAAGGCTGAGTCAACCTTGAGCCGGTGAGATTTGAACCGCTGACCTGCTGAACACAGTCAGCTAAAGTGGCCTGCAGTACTGCACTCTAACTGCTAACTGCTGCGCCACCTCGGCTCTTTATACTACTTGTAGCTTTTATATCGATTGTCAGGTTAGTGTACATGTTTTGCTGGCATATGTTAGAACAGGTAGCACACACTGATTGAAAACTTTTCTCTTTAGGCATAGGGAGAGATTGTTCTTGAAAATTACACTTAGCTTGTCGAATGCCTGCCAACCACATTTAACATGCAGTTCAGTTTACTTTATTGTATCACCTTCCACTGAGATCCATTGGCCAAGTTATATATAATGGTCTACTACTTTTAGTTCATCACCAGATATAAAAAAAAATTCTTTTTTTCATGAAGTTATTAAACAAAACCTGGCTATTTTTCAGATTTATTTTTAAGCCCAGTCTAGTTTGCTAAATAGTTCTTCAAGGCAAGTTGAGAAAAGGATAGGTAATATTGCATTGTCTTGTACACCTCGTTCTATGATGATTTCCACTTTAAGATCATTAAGACAAATTGTCGCCACTGTTTTTTCATATATTGAAAAACAAAGGACAAGGGAGCCAAGATTGTGGAGAGGCAGCAAAGGCTGTAAAGAGCTCCTCCAAAAGTAAAAGTTTTCTTTTCTTTTCTTTTTATTTTAACTTTTTAACTCTTTTTAACATTACATTTTAACCTACTTTTAACCCATTTTTTTAACCTATTGATTATAGTAAGTTTAAGCAGTATCTAAGCCTTGGTTCAGCAGTGCATTGATTATTGCTTGCTGGAATACTGAGTCAAACGCTTTTTCATAGTCAATGAAAGCCATGCACAGAAGCATAGTGTATTCATTATGCCTTTCAGTAACTTGCTAGATACCTGGGTGTGTGATCCATTGTGCTGTAACTACTTCTGGATTCAGCAGGTTCTTTTGGCTGTGCATCATTTAATGTTTTTAATATTTTTTTTGCTATTATCTTAACCTTGTAAATGCCTGAAGGAAGGTTTATTGGGCAATAGTTCTTTTAAATCATCTTGGGCCCCTTTCTTATGTATAAGAATCACGTCAGCATTTTTTAGTGAATCTGGTATTTTTTCTTCTCTGAAGTATCTCAATGATAGCTTTGTTAGTATCCCGTGTAAACTGTAATCATCAGCTTTCAGCATTTCAACTGTTACATAGTCATTTCCTGAAACTTTGCCATTTTTCATTGATTTTATGGCACTTGATACTTCCTTTACTAGAATATCTGGCATTTCCTTTTTTGTCGGAATTGTTACTTTTGAGTGATCTTGATCTTTATATAGCTCTGAATAGAATTTTCCAATTATTTCTAATATTTCCTGTCTTGTTCTGCATACTGAGTCATCTTCACTTTTTAATAGTGCCTTTTTTCTTGTATTTATAAGTTTGCATTTTGCTGTATTAATTCCTTTATTTTCTGCAATTGCCTTTTTCACAAGCTTCACGTTAAACTGATATGTTTCTTCGTGGATACCTTTTCTTATGGTCTTGCAAAGTTCAATATACTCAGTTTATTAGTGAAACTTCTGGTATTCTTCATTGCCTGTTTTTTTTTTATTAATAGTTTCATCAGAGATTTTTGACTGTGCAAAGTGTTTTTCCAGTGATGCTATAGATCTAGCAGATTCAAGGACGTTTTTTACTATTTGTTTGTTTTGGTCTGTAATGTTCATCTCTTCCAAATCTTGTAATAGAGAAAAGCAATTTGATAAATTAATCTCAAACTCACTGCTCTTCTCTAACAACATCACTCTTTGTTTTCCTTTTTCATCATGTCTTTATCATCTTCATAGGCTCTTTTCAACAATCTATCATCACTTTAGCTCATACCATTCTATGGTTACTTCCAAAGTGATTGATGGTAGTACAGTTGCAAAATATGTTTTTATCACTTGACATGATATGGTCAGTTTCACTTGTATATTCAGATGGACTCTTCCAGGTCCCTTTTCTGCTAACCATTTTTCTCAAAAAATGTTCATAATATAAAATTCCTGTCCTTCAGCAAAATCTACTAGTCCAGTGATGGCGAACCTTTTAGAGACCAAGTGCCCAAACTGCAACCCAAAACCCACTTATGCATTGTTGGGTGCCGGCTGGGAGTGGCCCATTGGGTAGGTGTGGCTGCGGTGGTAACAGCAGACTGGGTGGGACTAAAAAGTTTAATCAATCAATTCCAACTTTGCAAGATCTTTTTTTTTCCCGCAAGAAGTTGAAATTGACTGATTGATTGATTGAACCTTTTTATTTTTTTTTGTACACAGCAGTGGAGGCCTAAAGTGAAAAGGTTTTATAAAACCCAGCCGAAGGCCTAGGACTGGGGCGACGGCGCTCATGCCCACAGAGAGGGCTCTGAGTACCGCCTCTGGCACCCTGCCATAGGTTCGCCACCACTGTACTAGTCTGCTGCCTCTATTATCTCATTCACTATTTCCATCAGGGCCAGTTGCTTTTTTTCCAGTTATTGTTCTTCGTATTCTTGCACTAAAGTCACAGTATTTTGGATTCATGCAGTGATAAATTCCTCATTTCTGCTTTTAAGGAGGCCTTAATTTGTCCTCTCCTACAACTTTCATCCAGTCTTTCATCTTCCCCTTTTGGAGAAGGTGATAGAAAAGGTGGTTGCTCTGCAGCTCCTGGATGAAATGGATTTCCTGGACCCATCTTGGTTAGGATTCAGGCCCGACTCTTGGATGAAGACAGCCTTAATCGCATGATCTTTGGTGGGAAATGGAATGGGGATTATACACTCATTCCTGCTTTCCCTGACCTCTCAGTGACTTTCAATACCATTGACTATGTTATCCTTTTGGGCTGGCTATGCAAGTTAGGATTGGGCAATACAGTTTTGCATTGGTTCAGCTCCTTTCTCCAAGGTTGGTCCCAATCAGTATTGATAGGAAATGAAAGATCCAGCCCCTGACTGCTCACTTGCAATGTCCTGCATGGCTCGGTATTCTCCCTCCTGTTTAATATCTACATGAAGCCATTGAATAAGATTATCTGTCACCATGGGTTGAGATGTCATCAATATAACGATGATACTCAACTCTACCTCTCTATACCTGGTGACACAAGTGATGCTGTCTCTGCCCTCTCACAATGCATGGAGACTGTAAGTACCTGGATGGGAGACAACACACTTCTACTGAACCCTGGCAAAACTGAGTGGAACAGGGAATCTCAGAATCCGAATTTTTGTCATCCTTGATTTTGGATGGAGTTACATTACCCTGTTCAAACCTAGTCAACTTAGGGGATCTCCTGGTCCACCTTTTGCTCTC